AAAGTATATACTGAAGTAAATAAAAAATGACTTTGGGCCCCCTTAGAAAACGTGGACCCTACCATCACCACCACGAAATAGGTGTTTTTCACGTTTTGGAAATGGAATTGGATTTTACGTTTTTTTTTCTTCCTTGTCAAGAAATTTTTGGGTTAGAAATTTTTTTGACTGGGATGCCCCCCCCCCCCCCCGGAAAAATTCTTGATCCGCGCCTGTATAATCATTATTCAAAATTGTTAGGTAATATCCGAAACAACATATGTGCAATATAAAGCATTTATGAAACTCGAACTTCAAAAATTCTGTCATGACTACATGAGACCGATTGAATTATTTCCTCCATGGTTACCACGGAGAATGACTGAGGATTTCGAAAAGCATAATTTAAGGAGATTGGCAAAGTTCCTAGCTTTCGTAAAGAATTTTTCAAAAACTCTTGAGCAGGTGTAGTGGTACTAAACAATACACTTTATTAGTTTTCACCGCGTAGAAAATTCTACACGGGAGATCACTCTCAATCAAGCTCCAGACAGCTCAGTATTACTCCATATCATTATTCGTAGGGAAAGAAGTCCCGGAGAGTATGGAGTATGACTCTCAGTCATACTCCATACAGTGTCAATTCTCCGGCACTACTTGGTATGGAGTTGTAGCGTAATGCAATACTGAGTTGTCTGCAGCTTGGACTCTCATGATGGAAAACCCCATGAATTACCTTTTTTCTCCGGATAACCGTGAGTTGCCACTTTCCATAAATGAATGAAATAAATAATCATACGTAATCAGCGTTTTATAAAAGAAATATATTTTTGATTTAAAATTAGACTGAAACGCTTCTAGTCGACATCACGAAAATGTACATATCATGTATCTTGAAATGGGAAATATGACGCACGCTTGACAACGTCCCCAGAAACAATCAGTCAGTATATTTCTGGGTGCATTTGGGGGGGGGGGGGGGTTATAGCACAAATTAATGTAGAAAATAGAAATTCCTTGATACGCAAAACAAAAAGGAAGAGGATCAACTGATGTTCCCTCCCCCTTCCCCCGTTCATACAGACGTTAGATACATAAATGACTTGTATATAGAACTGGACATTCAACTTTGCCCAAAATGCTTCATGTCGGTAATAAAAGAAAATATTTTACAATAATGATTTCAAATTTTAATCGGTCATGCAATACAGCCTGATAGATTATCCCACAGTCTGTCTATTATAGTCACAGTAAAATGTGTAATTTCTTTTTCTTTCCTTTTCTTTTGGCAAAAAAAAAATACAAAAATGAAATATTATTTCATATGTAGTTCATTATGACGAGGAAGAGTGATATTTTTATAAGAAAGAATTAAACCCAAACCATGATTATACTTTAAATCTGATGTTTTTGTTTTCAATATTGAATTACCTGTTTTGAGCTTTAAGGAGGCTGGGGGTCAACAAATTAACCATCAGATATAACTTAATTTTTTAGATATAATATCTTAAGCTGTCAACTATCATTTGGCAAACAAAAATTTCATACATTTTAGTTTTAAAATTTGATCATTTTTGTATATCTTTATATGGAGCTCTTCTTCTAAAGGAGATCAATATAGTATGAAAATGGCCACAACCACCCAGCCCTCTTAATAACATTACATGTATTTTGTTTCTGCAGTAAATACAGATCGAATACAACATTAGGCTATATATTACCCTATCCACAAATAAAGGGCAAAATATTATTATAAACTGAAAACAAGTTAATCGTTAAAACTAAAGGGAAGCATATACATACTTTTATTTTTTATCGGTCTTAGTATTAAACTCTACACTTGGAATATGAAATTTCTTTAAATATTGTAATAAAAATAGACTATATATAATTATATCACAATTTTGATGTGTACGCATGAATATCATAATAGTATTTGTTCTTCAGCATAATTTATTAAAATAGAGAATTCATATCTATTGATTTAAAGCAAACACATGACCAATACATTGTCATTGCTATCTGCCGCGGGCTCTACCTGCGGGTACCTGTCAGGTATACGAATACTTCACACCCCCATTGTTTTATTGCCTATACACACCGGCAGATTTCACACCTTTCATCGTCCTAATTTACACAATGCAAATGCTGGGGAAAAACAAACACAAGCCCAATAAATGCGACATTTTTTTTTAAATCATTGCCCTAAACAGTTTTGCTAAAAGCACACTAAACATGGAGTAGCAATTCCTGCCCTAAGAGATATATTGTACAAAAAAAATAAACACAACAGCTAGGGTAAATTAATTTTATGTGTTTAAGTCAAGATTAAAACATTTTGCACCACCCGGACCTTTAAACTTCGGCGGACCTTTTCTTATACGGGCCGGACCTTTTCTTATAAAAGGCGGACCTTAAGGTTCCCCTGGACCTTTAAACGAGGCGGACCAAATATTATGCGACACCGGTCTCCACGTCCCACAGTGGGATTCGAACCCGCGACGTAAGGATCAACTCCTTACGCCGCGACTCTAGAGCGAACGCTCTAACCACTGCGCGTGTCTCTTGACGTCCCATAATGCCATTGTGCACCTCCTATTTTACTTTTTGATCTGTCACTTATTTTGGGTCTCCCAGAGCAAAACATGAACTTTGTCACTATAATCATATGGGAGGCGGGGGGTTTCATTTAGTGAGCTCAGTGCTCACAGTACCTCTAGTTATTTTCTAGAATCATTTCCTGTATTTCAAAAACTTTTTAAAATATAATATACCTGTCATTGAACATTATAATGTGAACAATATTGACATGTTAAACAATTATTTATTTTTTCTTATTTCTTCTAATTCACATGGTCACAACAATATTCTTTTAAGTTTTTTGAAATAAATTGTGATTTGATATTACATCATCAGTCCAAGAAATAACCTCTCAAGTTAATGCCTAGTATGATAACATACAATGAAGGCCCGGTACAGTGTATGTTTGGAAACATCTACGGTTATTTTTTTTTTTTTTTTTTCCCTTTTTAGCTCACCTGAGCCGAAGGTTCAAGTGAGCTTTTCTGATCGAAATTTGTACGTTGTCTGTCGTTGTCGTAGTCGTCGGCGTCGTTGTAAACTCTTCACAATTTCATCTTCTTCTCCAGAACCACTGAGCCAATTTCAACCAAACTTGCCACATAGCATCCATGGGTGAAGGGGATTCAAGTTTGTTCAAATGAAGGGCCACGCCCTCTTTCAAGGGGAGATAATAGAGAATTGGTGAAAAATTAATAGCATCTTTTAAAAATCTTCTTCTCAAGAACCACAGGACCAGGAAAGATGAAACTCATGTGGAAACATCCTCAGGTAATGTAAATTCAAGTTTGTTCAAATCATGACCCCCGGGGGTAGGGCAGGGCCACAATGGAGGATCTAAGTTTTACATAGAAATATATAAGAAAAACCTTTAAAAATCTTCTTCTCAAGAACAGCAAAGCCATTATGAGTAATATTTATATGGAAGCATCCTCAGGTAGTGTAGATTCAAATTTGTTCAAATCATGACCCCCGGGGGTAGGGCAGGGCCACAATGGAGGATCTAAGTTTTACTTAGAAATATAAAAGAAAAATCTTTAAAAATTTTCTTCTCAAGAACAACAAAGCCATGATGAGTCATATTTATATGGAAGCATCATCAGGTATTGTAGATTAAAGTTTGTTCAAATCATGACCCCCGGGGGTAGGGCGGGTCCATAATGGAGGATCAAAGTTTTACTTAGAAATATAAAGAAAAAATCTTCTTCTCAAGAACAGCAAAGCCATGATGAGTCATATTTATATGGAAGTGTAGATTCAAATTTGTTCAAATCATGACCCCTGGTGGTAGGGCGGGGGCACAATGGACTATCAAAGTTTTTCATTGAAATATATAGGAAAAATCTTCAAAAAATCTTCTCAGGAACAGCAAAGCTCTGATTGGTCATATTTATGTGGAAGCATCCTCAGGTAGTGTAGATTCTATTTTGTTCAAATCATGACCCCCGAGGGGTAGGGTGGGGCCACAATGGAGGATCAAAGTTTTAAATAGAAATATATAGGAAAATATCTTCTTCTGAAGAACTGCAAAGCCATGATAAGTCATTTTGATATGGAAGCATCCTTAGGTAGTGTAAATTCAATTTTGTACAAATGATGACCCCCGGGGGTAAGGTGGGGCCAAATGGGGGATTGAAAATTTTACATAGGAACATATAGGAAAATATCTTCTTCTCAAGAACTGAAAATCATGTTTAGTCATTTTGATATGGAAGCATCCTCAGGTAGTGTAAATTCAATTTTGTTCAAATGATGACTCCCGGGGCAGTGGTGGATCCAGGAATTTCGTAACGGGGGGGGGGGGGCAGTAGAGGCAGTGGGTCTGGGGGCTGCATTGAAGCCCCCAGTGGGTCTAGAGCAAGGCCTTGGTGGGGGTCTGGGAAGATGACGAATTCTTACAAAAAAGAGATGTTTTTTCCTTGATTTTAGGATAATGGACATATAAGTTCTACATAAAAAAAATTCAAGCCGGGGGCGCACCGGCCCTGGAGCCGCCTTTGCGGGGGTAGGGTTGGGTCCAATGGGGGATGGAAAGTTTTACATAAAAACATATAGAAAAAATATTTCTTCACAAGAATAGAAAAACTATGTTTAGTCATATTGATATGGAAGCATCCTCAGATAGTGTAGATTCAAGTTTGTTCAAATGATGACCCCTGGGATAGGGAGGAGCCACAATGGGGGATCAAATTTTTACAAAGGAATATATGGGAAATTTTTTTAAAAATCTTTTCAAGTACAACAAAGCCATTTGTTAAATTGACATGGAAGGTAGTTTAAAATTCACCCCCCCCCTCCCCGGTAATCTTTTCAATAATGAACTGATTTGTGCTTTTCCCTACCCAATGTACTCAGGTGAGCGATGTGGCCTATGGGCCTCTTGTTATATTTCTTTTTGACAGATCAAGAGGTATATTACCAGGGACATACATACTAACGGAATGGCGCCATGTTCAGTACAAGTTAGTAACCGGTTTTTCTCAAAGTCGAGTTACTTATTTTTTTTAATTTTCAAGAGACACTCGATAAGCCTCGTACAAGCACATCTTAAATCGACAGCAGGTTATCTTAATGTTATCATTTACGTCTTTTAAAAAATTGAATATTCATTTTTTTGACAAACAATATATATATATATATATATATATATATATATATATATATATATATATATATATATATATATATATATATATATATATATATATATATATAACAAAACAGAAAAAGAACGTGAAACCAAAGAAAAACTTTTTATTAACAGATATAAACCTGTTTTAAATGCTACATAATTATATTTTGTATCAGATATATACTTTTTTCCCGCAATTTATATCTGTATTATTTGTAGGGAAAATTTAATTTCCCGTATTAAAATTTCTTACGTTATGTCATGACGTCATAATTAACTTTACTAATGCGTAAATTCACATTAGCGCTTTTTGACGTCACAGTAAGAATATTGATTTTGTATTTATGTGTAACTAAGCAATATGTTGTCAAACTCCTGAAGATTGAAAGTGAAACTGGTAGAGTTTATTTCGGTGTTGTGATTTTTTTTTGATATATATATATATATATATATATATATATATATATATATATATATATATATGTTGATTTCATGAAAAACTGTATAAACAGCTGAAGTTTATCGCAAACGTAGGTCGTTGAATGGTATCTTAGATAAACTATACAAATATGCAGTCATATGAGTTCTATTCTGAGTATTTCTACGAAGCTTTAGATATGGATATTCCGAGAAATATCAGTATCTAATTTACTGATAGGACTGATCTGAATAAACATTTCATCAAAAAGGGAATTTTTCTCTCAACGGGAAAGGTGTATATCGTTGTTGTCTTCACAATGATTATGGAATATATGAGGGTTTTTTTTTTTATTTTTTTTTTTTTTTTTTTTTTTTTTGTTTTTGCCGAAACAATAGTTTTATTTATTTGATTATTCACTTTTCAGAAAGAAAGATGAAGACACTCTTGGAGTTTGCATTTATACTCGTACTATCCGTAAGTACAATGTTAGCGAAAGGAAAGGGTCAATTATAATAGCCACTAAGTAATATTATGCTACGATGTTTTTTGAGCAATGATATCTCCCGAACTTGAAATCAATTATAATGATCTGGAAAATAATTCTCATCTAACGTGGCATTTAAAACAAATTTTAAAAATAAATAAAAAATAGCACTTTAAATTTTAAAGACAAAATTTTACTTACTGTTAAAAAATGTTAATGAAATGAGAAACACATTGAAACTTTACTTATTATAATAACTACTGTTTGCTGCAATAAATGCATTCAAAATTGTTTAAGGATTTTAAGTCTGCAGTTTTACTAAATGAATAAATTTTAAAAATTTCCCTTTGTTATCTTATCACTGCATATATCGAAGTGTTTCATTTAAGTAAGAATTCTTGCTATCAAATCGTTAATTAAAAAAGTATGTACACCATTTTATGAACGTTTAGAAATTCTTGAAATATGGTGGAAAATAAGCAATGATAATTTAACATACTTCAGAATTTATATCTGACTTTTGCGGACTGGGAACATCCCAACTACAGCTACAGTAAGTTTTGTTTTCTTTCATTTAAATTAAAAAAAAATCTTCAGAATCTTTTTTTTTTTTGCTTCATTAATACGTTAAAGCAAAGATTGCATTGTTTCATTGTTAATACAAAAAATATAATGTAAAAAAATGTTTCATTGAAAAAAAACAAAAACCAATCATACCCGCGGTGTTATGAAATACCTCTGGAATGATTTTTTTAAGTAAATCGTTTGTTCTGAGTTATTTTATTGAATTCCCAAATGTTTGTGCTAGAAGAATAATTTATGACAGAATTTAAATAATGATATCCTTGGAACCGGGGTATATATTGGGGGAATGTCCTTTCCACAAACACCTGTGAATATGCCCCCTTTAGAAAATATTTTGATGGGTAGGGAACTTAGGTCAGGTGCTTCATTCTATTTAGGTTTTCTCGCAAAGGTGACCGTTCGCGGTAGTTCAGTCGGTAGAGCGCTCGCTCCGTGATCGGGAGGTCGTGAGTTCGAATCTCGGCCGCGACTGTCGAAAAAAAAGGGTAGGAACTGTTCTTTCGCCATTCGCTCGGCACTTTGAAGTGAAAGTTTCGGGTCTTTTGGATGAATCTGGATGAAACCCGCCGTGAACCCTACGTGTTGATCATGTAGACGAAGTACTCCGTAGTCAGATTTAGTATATAAAAGCAATGACTAATAAATGACATTAAACAAGTCAGACAAAATACCATCCAGCTATAAGTTATTTTTACAAACAAGGTCATTATAACAACAGTTTGAATTTGCGAAAAGCTGACTTTTAACGAGGGATATTGAAATCCTTGTAACACCAACTTATTTGTCAGTTGCTTGCCTCAGTTTAAAAATTAATCGTACTCAATGCATGCTCTTAAAAACAGAAACACCATATGCAGGTGATGTTGGAATATTGCTATATAAATAAGTAAATTTGATTCAGCTTAGTTTTATATGCATGCAAGATTGGTAACATTGATTTTCCATAGAAGGAAGTTCCAGAACAACCCTCACCTCATTTCCAACTAGATCCACTTCATACAAATTGCTTTAGCTTTATGCATATTATTCCGCTTAGTAATAAAGCCTATTAGTATCAATTTTTTAAAAAATCACGCCAACTATTTCGTAATAAAAAGAAAATTATCTCGTAATTACGAGAAAATCATCTTGGAATTGGGAGAAAGGTATCTCGTAATTATGAGGGGGAAAAATCTTGTCAATACAGGAAAAAATATTAGTACGAGATAATTTTCTCGTAGTAACGAGGTTTTCTCGTAATTGCGAGAGAAAAATCTTGTAATCACGAGGAAAGATCTCGTAATTTCGAAAAAATTATCATGTAACTACGACAAAATTATCTCGAATTTACGATAGAAGATAATTGTCGACCAAAGTACATCAAAGTCATAATTTAACCACTAAAATATGCATTGTTACAGCGCACTTTGAAAACTTACGCACTTTGAATTTTTTTTTAAAGTGCGTTAAATTTGGGACCAAGTTAATGTATAATATAGGGACTTTGATTTTTTTTCGGAGTGCGTTAATATCGACCATACATGTATTAACGCACTTTTAAAAAAAGTGCACGGCTCGGTCAGTATTCTTGCAAATATTAGGTATGATAAATAACTATTTGAACTTGGTTGGATAACTTTTCGGTGATGACGTCACTTCAGGATCTGATATATAGACGGGTTTTTTAAAAGATTTTTAGGGGTTGTCTTGTTCCCAAAGGTTCTCGTCAATGTTATGAAAGGGAAATGGGTCTTTTAGAAATAATGGAGGAATGATTGTTCAATAGCTCAATTTCGATTCTTTCTTTTTTTTACCCAGTCTGAAATATGATCGGTATATGTAGGGGTCGATAGGTGACTTAAAGCATCGCATTTTTCTTAGGGGAGAGGGAGCAATTATGATTTTCCATACCATGAAAATTATCTCTCTCTCTTTAATCTATCTATCCATCTCTCTCTCTCTCTCTTTCTCTCTCTCTCTCTCTCATATTCATTTAACTATCTATTTTGAATATATATGAAACATTGGTTGACTCATTTATTTGATAGTAAGAAAAATAAACCTTAGCAACATTTCTCACTCGACCTCGTTCACTAATAACTTTTTCTCAAAGAAATCTTACAAACAAATGTTATGCAGTCAGATTACTTCTATATCTGTAATATGATATCATAAAAAGGGTACACATGTCAAATAGCATGTTTTAATTACCTTGTTAATGCCTTTTTTCTAAGGAATTATTGTGTATACATTTTGAATAAAGGTTATGCAGCTCGGCGGAATATTCAACAGACAACCAACGGGTTGTATAACTAACAAGATCAGTAGTTTACGTAAATACATATATTTGGGTAAGAAAGATAAAGAGTTGGGCTGAGGGACCTTCTACCTGTCTTCTCGTTCTCGATGAGGGTAGATCAATTCATCAGTTTTTCGAAAGAAATATATTAAGAAAATAATGCTGTCTATTACTAAAATCTAAGTCCAGAAGTTTTGTTTTATACATATTTTTTCAAAGTGCGTTAAGTGTCTCCATGGTAAAAATATGTTGATGTACACTCTAAACGCACTTTGAAAAAAAAATTCGAAGTGTGTTGATTTTGTCCCAAATTTAAGGCACTTTGAATGTAAAAGGTAAAGATATATCGATCGATCTCAAAAAATCCATAAACAATACAAATATGTGAAGAGGGCATAAAAGACGGACCCCTACGATTTCCAGGGGATCAGGTGCCTTGGAGGAATAAGCATCCTCTGTTGACCGGTCACACCCGCCGTGACCTATGTATTGATCAGGTAGACGGATCTATCTATTAAAAAAAATTTCAAAGTGCGTTGCCACAATGCGTATATACTAAAAGAAATGAAAGACATGCATTCATTTCTACAGGTATTTAATACAGAAATACAGTAATTCGTTTGTATGTTTTTAATGAAAATTATTATTCTGAAGCTAAATACACCATTCAAACGCGGAAACAACATTACCGTGAGTTAATGTTATTTACCTGTTAGTTGATTTATGTTTACATCTGCAGTTCTGGAAGGTTTTGACTATTTGGGGAATGTTGTATCTATCTGTTTTCTTCTACTGATTTAATTTAAATCAATTTTTACTAGTTTACCAACTTTCAAATTTTTATTCCTCACTTTTTGCCATTGTAATATTTTTATCCGGAAAATCTAACGATTTGCCATCATATCTTACACACTCAAATGTTGGGGAGTATCTACTGTAAACTCTTTTCGTAAAGTCATAAATTAATAATTATCTGATAAAAAATGAAAATAAAATGAACAAATATACCAGCTATTAAAACTTGGTTTAAAGCAAGTTTATAAAATATTTTACTCGTTATTTTTAAACATAATATCATTAACGAATTATTTACCGAACTAATAAAAATAACGTCTCATTTCCCCATGTGCACTTCCTAACACAACCACAAATATATCGGCCGCTCCTGCGGCCGATAATAACGGCGTTTATTGGGAATTAAGAGTCCGATTGGCCCTTTAACATGTAATTACACAAAAAAAAAACAAAAAAAAAAAACGAACAAACATACAAATAAAAATAAAAACAAAAACAAAAAACAAAACAAAACAAAAAACACAAACAAACAAACAAAAGAATATATTACCATTGAATTTTTTAAAACCAATATTATAATTATCATTATTGCTATCATGGCATACAGACCCAGAAATTCAAGTTGACAGGGATTTAAGAAAGTTAAAAAGCATGAACAAAAACTAACAGTACTCACCGTACTTGTGGATTCAAAGATTTTCTTAATTTTACGGGGGAATTTTACGGGGGGTGGGGGGTGGGAGTGGGGGTGGGGTTCTTGCCCTTAATTTGCGATTGACCTGCCGAAAAATCAAGATTTCAAAAAATAATACAATTGATTCTTCTTTGTGATCTATTCTCGTAATAATGAGATCTCTTCTCGCAATTACTACAAAATTTTCTCGTAATTACAAGATCTTTTTTTCCATAATTAGAAGATCTTTTCTCGTTATAATAAGGTCTTTTCTTGTAGTTAAGAGAGAATTTTCTCGTTATTACGAGATCTTTGCTCGTAATTACATGATCTTCTCACGTAATTATGAGATCGTAGGAACGTGACTTTATTTTATTCACTTGATACTAATAGGTTTTCGTAGCTTATGCCTAGATATCTATTATTAATTTGATTATCTTTTTGTCTTTCTATACTCTCCATTAACTAACATTTTAGGTGTTGAATCATATTTGCGCCTAGGCTGTATTTTGAGTTGGGAGTTTCGATTAATGTGCAATTTAAAATATTCTGCTTATGTTCTGTTTTGTTCTCCACATTTGGTAGCAAAAATGTTTTTACGTGTTAGAGTATGTACGTCAAGTGAAATCAATTATCATTCCAAGTCTTCGCCTCCAGAACAATGGAGCAATACATGTACATTGACGATGAAGAGGATTTTATGTAAAAATAGACTGTCTTTATACAATGAGCAAGATTAAAATGACTATAATCTTTCCCTTTTTAAGGATGCTTGGAAAATGGTGATGTGGAATTGTTTGGAGTGCATGCGAAAAGTAGCATAAAAGTAGAAGGGAACCCCCAAAATTGTAACCACTCGCATGAACAAACTACACATGTCTACTGGATAAAGTCCACATGTCTGGTATACCAGTTTTTCGTAATGTTTCAATTTAAGGACTTCATTCATTTTTATTTTTACATAGAAATAAACTTTCAGATTTGAAAAATTTATTTCAATAATTTTTTTAGTCAGTACAAAATAACGCCAATATCAGTGTTTACGACTTCGACTTTGATGGCGTATCTCAGCCCCCTGGTACTCCTACTACTACTATTGCTCCTAATATAGTAGGAGGACATGGTGGACATCAATTTGTCATCACATGCAAAGACATTCCGGGAACAGGAATAATTAGAACGGTAGCACATGTGTTTCAAGAAAAGTAAATACCATATTTATTGATTTCTTTGTCATACTTAGAAATATTTAATCTTTTCATTTTTTGGGGGGGGGGGGGAGGGGGAGGGGGGGTACATTGAAGAGAAATGCATAACATTAGAACATTAGTATGGCATGTCAAACGTTGCAATATACGATCTTTTTGATTTGAATTGTATAATTTTCCATTTGTATTGTATATTATTATTTTATAATTTCCCATTTATATTGTATAATTTTTGATAAGCATTGTATTATTTTCCAGTTGTATTTTATAATTTTCCATTTGAATTGTTTTTTTAATTTATATTCTATATTTTCCATTTGTATTGTAAAAATCTTTTGTATTGTAATTTTTTTTGTATTCTTTGTTTTCCATTTGCATTTTATATAGAGAATATTACATACTAAATCCATATCATATATCACATCAGCCCGAGTGGCCCCATATCAGCCCGAGGGCTAGCGCTGATATGACATATGATATGGAATTCAGCGTGTAGTATTCTATTTATCTATTTAAAATACTTAATATGCGAGTTCACAGAAAGTCATTTAAGAATGTTTCGTGCATGTTTATGACTCTTTTCTTTAAAATCTAAATTAGCCAATTTTAGGTCTTGGAAAATTGAGTCGACAAATTTAAGCAAAGAATTATGCTACATGTATATTTAAATAAAATCAAGTTAATTAACTTTTAAACCTTATACTAACGTTACTTCTGGTTTGATATGGATTCTTGAACGCCGATCCGATACGTGATATGGATTTTCGGATTGGTCCTTGATATGGGGTATTGTGACTTCACCCGTATCGCACAGTGCGGAATCGGTGTATTTACTACTGAACATATGATTTAAAATCTGATATAAAATCTGCCCAAACTCCATTTCGTTGGTTGGGTGGGTGAGGTACCACCAGTCAAGATCAAATTATTTATTTTCTCAGACATTTCCGATTAAGGACAACTTATTTATTTGCCATATGCCAGCGCGCTCTTTTCATCTAAATGGCCGTCCTCTGGTACCGTGCACGCAGATACATACTGGAACCCAGTTTGTTTTGTGCACCTGGAACATCTCGCTCATTTTCAGAACAATGCAGGCTAGATCTTGATCAATAAAATCCTTCGTAACGAACAAAAATAAACAATCCCTCGGATACAATATAATGAAATGTTATCGCATACATATAAGAGATTATACAATACAAATAAGAAAATTTACAATACAAATAAGAAATTATACAATGCAAATGGAAAATATAGAATGCAAATGAAAAAATATATAATTAAAATGATTTTTTTTTTGTAACACAAATGGAAAATATAGAATATAAATAAGAAATTATACAATTCAAATGAAAAATTACAGAATACAAATTAAGATTATGAATACAATAAAGAGGGTAGAGGCCTCTGCTGGTGGACTGTTAGTCCACAGCCCAGTAGCTAATTATTTCGGCACTCGCTTGAAAATACGGATATATATTTAACTGCTGTGTTAGAATTTAGAAATTATTTTCAAAATTAAGGATGATCTCCCTCATGCATAGATCTAATCCTTCGACATATTTGGCTCCAGTCTTTGGCACCTTTTTCAGCACTTCAGTCTTTTTATGTAAATATTTTCCAATTACAACGTTTGGCATGAGCATCACTGAAAAGACATAATTTGTCGAAAAGTGCATCTGGTGCATAATAATTGGTACCGTATATGATTTACATTATGACCCCACAGGGACTTGTGGACAGTATCCCCCCCCCCCCCTTCTAGTACACATTTACCGTGTATTCCATTTGAAAAGTTAAAAAAACGAAGAATTAACGTTTTTTTTTAAAAAAAAAATCATACCAGCGGTATTATACCGCGGGTATGATTTTTTAATGAAACGTTATATCTGCGTAATATTTTTGATTTTTCATATGAAATACATTGTAAATGTGTACTAGAAGAATAATTTATGAAAAAAAACATAAAAATATTTCGACCCGGGGGGGGGGGGGGTCTTGTCCACAAGTACCTATGTATGACCCCTGGGTCGAGGCCTTTGCTGGTGGACTGTTAGTTCCCGAGGGTCTCCACAGCCCAGTAGCTGAGTATTTCGGTACTCGTTAGAGAATACAGATATATATATTTAACTGCTGTTTAAAATTGATATATTAATTGCAAACTTAAGGATTATCTCCCTCATGCATGCATAGCTCTAATTCTTCGACGTATTTGGCTCTAGTCTTTGAAAGCTTGAAGAGACATAATTTGTCGAAATGCACAAAATTATAAAACAGTTTTGTTGCACTCTGACTGTAGTAAAATTTAAAATTAAAACCATAAAACACAACAAAAGGTTTGTCAACATCAAGTTGCAATGAAATTATGCAATATTTTTAGTCTCAATACTTCATAAAATGCAAAAAATTGTTTAAACTTAGATCTTATCTTGAATTATTCCCTATATGTACTTATGTCGCAAAACTAGCTAAAATATATGTTGAAGATAAAAGTATATTTTATAGGAATTTTTTCGTTATGTGGCAAACACTGTAATCAAATGAGGTAAACCAGAAACATTCTACTCATCAATTTTTTCTTTATATATATTCATATTTGATCATCGATAATTCTAACTTTTTTGTTACACTCCTGACAAGAGAATCTACTGAGAATTGTGAAGCATGAATTACACCAGAACGTGTCTGTTTCATTGAAGTAGTTGTGGAATTACTTGAATTTCATAACAATTTTTCAGTTTTTCTTTAATTTCATAAAAATTAAAGGAAAAAGATAAAAACACATCTGGAGTGACAAAATTGAAAAAGAGACATCTTTCAACTTGCAATATTGAAACTGTCAATAATTTAGTTCTAAATTATTCAAATAGATCCTCATAGATCAACAAATACTTTTTAGTACGAATAGAAATCATGTCATCATTGAACTTGCATCTTTATATATATATATATATATAATATATATATATATATATATATATATATATATATATATATATATATATATATATATATATATATATATATATATATATATTAGAGCTTTTCCATGTTGAGGAGCAAAAAATCAAATGGTGCACTCCTGAAATCAATGGATATGCACAGATACTTGATGCTCATTAATGCTACTTGTGATTTATATAACATTTTTAATTTTTAAATGGTATATCAGTTATTGATCTGCACTTTGAAAATTCTTTTTTTTTTGACTTAAGTATCATATTTTAAAATCAATGTTTTAAGCAACATTATATTTTTTTTTATTTAGGCAACATTACATTTTTTTTAATTACTTTAGTTATTTTGACACTTTTATTCTTTTTCACATTATGAACTCATTAGATACTAATAAATGAATCTTTTTCGATGACTCTAGTTAGGTAGGAATATTGTTAATGAGCTTATTGTTTTGACAGCATGAATAAATCTTGAAGTAAGTAATCAGTCATACAAACTTAACCATTCATAAAGAAAGTTATGAATTTGCTTCAGGATCTACAACAAACTTCCAGACAACTACAAAGAAGTCGCTTCTGTTGAGATGCGCTTTAAAGCCGTCAATGATACAGCTGCTCCTGACATAAGCACTGTCTACATCGGAGATGAATTCTACATGTTCATCAAATACATGGGAAGTAAGGAAAAATAATTCATTGGGAAAAAAACAATTACGTACGAAGCCTTGAAGGATTTCATTAATCAGTCCATTTTCTTAATTTGTAATTACCCATTATTAACTTTTATTCCAAATTATTTTATAAAGAAAGAGTGGCATTTGGCTGGAATCTGGAAGCACTTGAAAAGTGAAAATTTCATTGATCTGCCGCATGAAATTATAGAAATCTTTTGCTGTGAAATAGGAAAAGGAATATTTTTCCGATGTTATGTTATGATTTAATAAAACATAACTTGAAAATTGTCAAGAAGGGTCATTCAATTGATAAAAATGTTATAATTTTTAAATCGTTTTTCTAAAAATTTGTTATCTGGTGGTCATTTCTCCATGATTTTAAAACGTTATCTGTGTGCATTTTAATTCAAAGAAAGGAGCAAACATTTCTTTAAAAAAAAGGGGGAGAGAGGGAAAAACCCAGAGACCATAGAAAATGAACGTTTGCCCCCTAAAAACCAATGGTCTCTTGTTTTTTTAATCTATAATATTTGTGTAGCAATGATAGATCAGTAGTATCCGTTAACAATCCAGAGCACGCAGGAATCGAGAAATTTTTGGTTTTGGTTCGATCCTTGCATAGAGCGTTATTTTATTTCAATCAAACAATCAAGTCGTTTGACAGGTTAATTTTATGTACTGATTTATGAAAAATTTTGAAATAGATAAATTTTGGTTCAGTAGTAACGAGAGCGAAAACAATTCTTCTTCCAACTTACTTTACTCTATTATCTTATACGAGTTTATAATTTATTTGAAGCGTTATACTATGTTATCGTAACTATTAAGATAAGCGGACTTAAATACTACAATTTGACAAGGTATTTCAATGGAAATATAACATTTTACTCATCCTCACAACGTCAGGGGTGATGAGTCCAATTTTCAACTGGTTAGATTTCAAATCGGTGCATATAAAAAGTTATAGAATTCATATTAATCAAGGAATATGCAATAAAATTGGAGGAAAGGTTGTTTACATTGCAATTTGAATAATGTTTGATTCTATTTTCGAAATTCAGAGTATTGAATTCTTTTTCTTAAAATTTTATATAACATACCGATTTTTAATTGCAATTTTTGGGGGTACTGTGCCGCTTTCCTTCAGCAGACACTGGAAAATTGTATGGAAATAGGGTTTAAATGTGTAATTTCTCAATTTTTGTCCATAAATGCTTTGGGGAAGTTAATGGTAAGAGCAAAATAAAAATAATAAGTACCAGTGGCAGTATCGTAGGGAATTGATGTTAAGTTCTCCTTGTAGTAAAAATGAAGGAGATTAAGACATCCGGTTCTTATCTATCAATAGGAATCCAGGGGAGAAACACGGTACAAGTAATACATATACCTTACCCAGTCCCCGTCTCCAGATAAGAGAAAAGTTTTAGTACTGTGTGAGTTACCCTCAGACAGAGCAGTCTTAATTATCATTCCAATCATTAACTCAGACAGAGTAAAAGGAAAACCTATATATTCCTGTAAGAATCTAGTCATACATGTTACAAACGGAATCTTTAAAAATCTTCTTAAGAACAACTAAGCCATTGTAAGTCATAGTAATATTTATACAGAAGCAACCTTAGGTATCGTAGAATCAAATTTGCTCAAATTATGACGCCCAGGGGTTGGGGCAGAACAGAGGGTAAAAGTTTTACATAAGAATATATGTAGGAATCATATTGAAAAAATCTGCTCAAGAACAGCAAATCCATGATTAGTCATACTGTGGTAGTGTAAATTTAACTTAGCTCTCCCCCCCCCCCTCGTTTACCTTTAATTACTGAACTGATTTCTGCTTTTTTCTAGCCAATGTGCTCAAATGAGCGATGTAGTCTATGGGCCCCTAGTTTTATATCAGTTGCTGAAGTAAGTATAAAGTGCTACGTGAACAAAAGTGCCAGTAGATCTTTTCACAAAATATCTTACGACTATAAGACAAACATGTTCACATATTAGCTAAAGTAGGTCACAAAGAATACTATATTTCTGTTACATTATAATTTATTGTGAATAATCCTTTAGAAAAAATTAATATCATAATAAACAAAGAAATTACAGAGTTGTCTGCACATGTTAATCTTAATCCAGTAAGCTTCTGGTGAATTTTATCAATTTTGAAATACATGTTTACTTAATACAAATTTACCTTTTACTTGCCCGATGCAATTCAATCCAAAATGTATACAGAAACTGATATCTAAATTGACATAGACGATGCTTATTTTACCAAATAAACTAAAGGCATTTACTTCAGAGTTACACTTCAGGACTTAATTAATGTAAAATTCAGTGTATTGGAATCTTAAAATGGAGCGTGTTATGTAAAGATATGTTTGTCTTATTTTTTGATTCCGGAATAAATAAATGTAAATTAATCTCTTTGTTCTTAATTATTTCAATTACATAATTATTTACCATTGCAGCATATACATGTATTAGAAAATGAAAAAAAAAAATGGCTATATAATAAGGAGTCTTTTAAAGCACATATTGATTAATAATTTTTTCTAATAATTCAAATTTAACTCTATTTCCAAAAATCTATTTTTTTCTTCATAGAGGAATCTTACAATGTTATTCCTGAGAAATGTTCAGCCTTTGGTGAGACATGGATTCCAAAAGGACCTGCAACAAAACCAGCGGATAAATCGGTGGATTTGTGGAATATTCAAAAAGCTGGGTAAAATAATTATGATTGTGTTCAAGTTTTGCTTTGCAGGTGATAAGTCTTATTGATTAGATATGCAGAGCGTTATATTAACTTTTTTTTATTTCCTTATTGAATATGCTTATAACAAACAGTACACTTCTGAATTGTTACAACCAGTTAGACTGAAAAAAAACATCCTCTTTTTCAAGGTTATGGATAATTTTGTAAAACATTCAGAGAGATCCTAAGGGCTTACATTTTTAGGTCACCTGAGTCACTCAGTTACATGTTCTGTGATTTTTTCTGTTCTCAAAAAATCACACTAGCTTTATTACCCGCAGCTGGAATGATACTTTTACAGTCATCAACCAGACTGTTAACTGAAACATAATTAATATTTTGGGGGGTCAACCACCTCCTATTTCCATAGAATCCACTTTATCTATTGCTCTCTATAAGAGCTGGTGCATTATTCCCTACCCAACGTGGATTTCAACCATTATCTACCTCAGAATTCTCAGTTTCACCTGGATCATCAACACGTGTATTACATTAACTGTAGCTGGGAGTGAACAATGTACATAAAGTTAAGCTGAGTGGACTTTAAACATCACCTAAAATTGGATCAAAATCAAGAACAATTTTAAATTCTAATGCAATTGTTTTGTAAAACGTATTTTGATTGGCTATATAAAGGGCTGATGTTTGAAGCAGTTAAATATGAGTATTAACGAGAACGAAGGCTTTTGATTGTAACGTCATAATAAAACGTCGCAAAAACACTTGCCAACCTTTCATATAACAAAACGCAACAAAATAAGACGCGTCGCCGGTAAAACTGTTTGCGACCGTTAAATCAGCATTAACGGTCGCAAAAAGCAATTAAGAAGATAGTTATTCCCTAAATCTTCTTAAACATAATAGGTTAGCTAATTGCATATTCTTAAGAAATAAACAACGCGTTATTCAGTGACCATGGCGTTATGAATAGCAATTGCTCTGCTGACATATTCCATGATGCGCTAGCGCCATGTTCACTGAATAGTCCTTGTTTATTACATACATGTATATTTGCATTCTGTGATGTCAAGAATATTAGAGGAAATCCTGACCTACATAAGGGCACGGGTGCATGCTTGTCTCCAGTGAAGAAAAACATGACAATAAAATCAGTAGACCTGATTAATAATTAATCCACTTTATCTCCAATAAATCAAATAGAATATAATTATATGGTATTTGCTTATTTACCACAGTTAATATCTGGATACAAACCGCGCCGTCTTCAAAATTTTTGTGTTGATGCTGTTGTGACGCGTCATGACATCATTGTTATCGAAACTCTTTGAGAAAAATTATTAATAAAAATATTAAGAAAAAACAGAATGTTTTTATATTGATTTTAACTAAAGAATGTTTTCTTATGTTTCTTTAAGTTTTTAAAATTCTGTTCTTGATCGTTCTTGAAATAGAAACACTATTACAGATATTTCGCTTTGTCTGAACGTAAAACACCCTAGCCTGAAGAGTTATCGTTCTTTGTAACTATATGCGTAAAATGAACAAATAAATTAAAGATATATAAAGAGCTCTATTTTAAAATTTGTAGAAAGCTTTATGATACAATTAAACACGTTGACTAATTTTTTTTTTAAATTAAATACACCTCAATCAGCAATTTTAATCATTTTGAATTTATTTTTTCTCAGAGGATTTCATTACAAACTAAATTTTATTCCTTTTACACAACATTTCATATATATACTTCCGAATGTGTTTTATAAGTGGAGTACCTTGTACGGCCAGTGTAAGATATGAACTGCACTCATAGCAGAAGTTGCTTTCATGGTGCTATGAATGCAGCTGGTGAGTGCAGGTTCATAATGGGAGAAAACAGAGAGAATGCAAATAGAGAATGCAAATATATATATATATGTATAACTTATAAGAATTTATACAAGAAGTTCGACCAATTCCTTGATCAGAACCAACACGACCATTCACAAAAGAAGTTGTAATAGACGTTTGCCGTAACTATCTATCTGATGCAAGTCTGGTGAACTTATGCTTGCCTTTAACGGTATGTTAAAAGACTAAAATTTGAAAATCATTGTTGGATACATCATACAATGTGATATTGCATGAGTCAAGAATATCCATATTTACATCAACAAATTCTTTACATGAGCTTCTATAAACATTTAAGTACCTAATAAACAAATCTGAGCATCATTTATGTCAACATTTTTTTAATTTAAAAAGTTTCAATATCATATTACTATAAACACAACTCTCAGATGGTATATAAGCAACACAAAAAAAAAAAAATTCCTTTGAGAATATTAATCAACAGAAAAAAATAAAACGCTCAGATCGTGCATATTTTAACTTGTATGTCACTGACATAATCAAAGAGAATTTCACGTATAAAAACGCAATTGAGTACCACTGGAATGTTCTTAATTTACAAGTGACTCGGTTAACTTGTGATAACAGTTGTATCCATCTATATTAAAGTTTTCGTAAAAACCCAGTTTCGTTTCAATGAGGCAAACTATATGATATTTATTTATGGATTCAATATAAAATCGGGATTTCATAATTTGATAAGAATGCCACAAACATTTAAGCTATGTACATGAACAAAGTTGGGGTTGTTGACAGGATTATTGATAAGAGTATCCGTACTCTTTCTTTAATTTCCTAGAGGTCAGCCAGTCCGAGTTTAGCAAAGTCCACGTTGTCGAGGCCAAGTTTGAACGATTCGTCAGCATTTTCAACAAGTATTTTGGTCCCATCCTTTAGGGGCATACCTCCTGAAGTTCGAGTCGAGGAAAGAGGAATTACGGACCCTATTGCACACAACTTGTATTCTCATTGAAGGAAAAGAATTATAACTCAGATTCCTGCATATCATTTTTACTTTGTTTGACTTTTATTTCTTTGATTACAATATATAAAATACGAAAACAAGTGGTTAGAGCGTTCGCTCTAGAGTCGCGGAGTAAGGAGTTGATCCTTACGTCGCAGGTTCGAATCCCACTGTGGGACGTGGAGACGGGTCTTCGGATGAGACCGTTTAAACCGAGGTCCCGTGTCGCATTAGGTGCTGGCACGAAAAAGATCCCTCACTGCTCAATGGCCTTAAGTGCCGAGTATAGGTCAAAATTTGCAGCTCTCCACCGGCAAATGGTGGCGTCTCCATATGAGTGAAAAATTCTCGAGAGGGACGTTAAACAATAAACAAACAGACAAGTAAGAAGAAGAAATTAAAATATTCAGTACAGGGTATACATGACATAAAGGAGATAAAATGATTTAAGGGTGCATATAGATTTAATTCGTATGCCATCTTGCACCATGTCAATGTTACAAAGATCTTGTCTTTGACAAACCTTTGCAATATAGGAAGTTTAGAATGTAAACCTTGATTTTAACATTTGTATTAAGTTTATCCATACTTGAGGAAAAAGAATCGTTATGTTGGAGAGATCGAGTCACGGTCCTAAGCAATTATCAACAATATAGAAATGTTTAAAAGTGTAAAGTTTGTCTGTTAGAGAAACAATTTTAGCACAAAAGGCAGCTGTACCTGCATTCTATATCATATATAACATTCGCCGTATGAATAATAAACTAAAGCACATTCTCATACCGGGTATTTTATTCGATTTTTGTAAAACAGGAGTCCGTCTAACAAATCTGTTTCTAAGCATATATTGACCAAAATTTATGTAAAGTGTAGCATCGGTAAATACATTAATCTTTTTGTCGAAACACAAGGTGGTAATCAGGACAAAGTGTAAATGGTTATAATTTTTGGCTGATATTATCTTAACTTACAATGATGAAATAAGGTGACCTTATGCTATTTCCTTTCGTCTACACCCGACAAGACAGTGTAGGCTATAGACATTTTTCAACTTGCATACAGGCAAACCCACTTTGAGTGTGTAAATTCAAATTTAATCACACCATAGCTCCCGGGGCAGGGATAGAGTAACAAATGTAGTGTAACGTTTTACCAAGAAAGAAATGGGGAAAACCTTGAAAAGTCTTCGCAGGGATCAGAAATCCACAATTTGTCCATTGAAATGTTTGGGAACTCTAGATCATAAAATTTTTTCTAAAGAACTGTCGCGCTTTTAATTATTCAAATGTTGTTTGCATGTGATTCAATATTATTCAATTTATTTCCCATTTCCAATCCCGGAAGGGAAGGAGCTCCAAAAAAAGGGTTCATATATTTACCAAAAAAACTCTTAACATCTTTTTTCTTCATAATTCAGGGCTACAAATTAAAAAAAAAAATTCCTATTAAACAGATTCATTTTCTACAATGCAGAATTAAGTGAAAAGTAGGGATGCGCGATTTTATCGGTATACCGGTATATCGCGATTTTTCATTGCGTGATACGTATCGTGATACGGAGACTAGAATACCTTTATTTGGTACATAACTACAAATTCCGGAAATTATTCATTTATTTGTTCAAACTATTGAATGACAATTATAGGAAGTGTAAAAAAAGGTTGAAAACAGTTAAACAACGGCATCAAAATATGCTATATATTAGATAAATAACTGAAAATTTAAAAAGTAAAATTATGTTTTTATAGCATATTCTTAAGAAATATAAAAGAAATTCATTTGAAATTGTAGTAAAAATTGTGTGTAAAAATATCGCGATTTATCGTGATATTTTTTTTGGGGGGGGGGATCGTGATATATCACGATACAAAATTTTTGCCGATACCCATCCCTAGTGAAAAGGTTTGATTCTTTACAGTGTATTATATTTTCTTTAAAAATCTTCCCAAATTAAATGTTAAGATTGTCAAATTATTGTAGATATAAGTTTGTCTCAATTTGGGTCAGACGAAGGTATTAAGTCTCTTAAGTTTAACAACTACTACTTATCGCAGAGATATATTCATCGCAGCTTGACGTGACGAGATACATGTAATGTTGAACATAAGTTCAATAGAATTAAAAAAAAACAACAGCAGAAAGATTATTATATTTCATG